AGCTTTCCACTGGTTTAGCATCAGCTATACGATCCTGAGGTGAAAAATGCGTTAGCATTCCACTCAGCACTAACTGCTAACCCTTGTAAAAACTGATGAGTAATGTTTTGTTTAAGGATTTAATTGGTGAGCTAGCCCGTAACCGAGGAATCACCCGACGTCGAAAATCGCTTATATGCTTGAATGAATACGATCAGACTCCGAGGTTGCATCCAGAGTTTTCAGGGCCGAATAGACGCCTGATGGCCTCCCTGAAACGGAATGACTCTCGTGACACGAGTTTGAGGGAATGGGAATGTGTCTGCAGTTTCCTTGCGGCTACATTTATACTCTAATACTTAGACTCTTGGTGCCGGTGGCTGCAGGTTAAGATGGGAATGACAGTTTGTAGCCATTGGAATATCCAAATGTTCTGTACATTTTCATGGGGGCATTTTTAACGCTTTTTTCATTAATTTGATAGTGGGGCGCTGATCATCATCTTATAGCAGTGCCTTTTCTTCAGGTACAGTTGTCGACGGCAGATGTGTGGCAAGTATAATGCGTAGCCTCCTGTTTCCTGTTACATCCACTGTTACTTATCAACCTAGGAAGGAAGAAAGGCGAGTGACGACGGCCGCAGCTCGAATCCGGGATCTCTCGGTTCTCCGTCCAACGCTCTAGGGATTCAGCTATCCTGGTCTGAAGCAACATGTGGTAAACTCCTTGCTCAAGACAAAGATTGCCATCTGTCGCGATCCAGTCCGGCCTTTTGGGCAGTGTGCCACGCAACACCACGGTCAAGAAGAGGTTCGAATGACTGTCCTTTTGGTGCTGAGAGCATAAACGTACTGATCTGAGTTGGATTTTTGTAATCGTTTAAGAAATCACAGACAGATAGTATAAATGACGACTGATGCCTTTGAGACCTGCCGGTTCTCGATCCTCCGTTTTCGGTTATCTTTCCTTTTGGCATCTGTTGCGCGCCGGAGCGTTAATGAACGCAGAACCTTCGTGCAAGCTGTTGTTTCCTTCGGGTTCGCTACCCTCCGGGCAGCAGTCTTCGGTATCGCCAGTGGTCCTCATTAATAACGCTTCATTATCTGAAGGGCGGATCAGCGGTAGTGATGCACGCTCAACAAAAAGCCGCTAATTTTTGCGTTTCTTTGCGACAGCTGGTTGCATTTACATTGGTAAATGCGAATCTAATCATACGCTGACCACCGGTCACCAAGAATAACTGACCACCGGTCAGTGGATGTGGCCGGTTGACCGGTCGACGGCGTCCTACGCTGACAGCTGTGAGCACAGTAGGCCAACATAACAGTAATTATATTCGTGTATTATGAGCGTCATTAATAAGATCAAAATCGATCATCTGCGTTGGTCGACAGGTTGTGCAGCGGCGATGGACCGGTCCGCTGCTTAGTTTTCGAACCCGACGACTTTCTCATGTCATTAGTGTATGGACATGATTGACTGCAACGATAAGAGACTGTGCCCGTAATGTTTGTTAAACTCGACGACTGTGTGACCTCGGGGCTTACAGTATAATTGTAGGTTTTGTCCTAATTGCAAATTAGTACCACAGTGTCGCCGTGACAGGTCTAAACATTAGCTTTTATTAACGTCACGGTTACCGTTGGCAGAAGGTATCAGTCTGACATTCAGATTCGAAAAGTGGAAACAATGTAAAAAGTTTTAAACGATTAGGGATGATGATTGTTCGTATTGACTCGTGCCTTCCACATCATTGAACTAATACACAAGTTGTTCGCTTCAGATGAAAAAGAAAACTGGGAATCGCGAGCACAAAAGCGTGAGATCCAAAATACAAGAGTCGGTAGCTGCCCCC